ACTTCTGCAAAAACAAACAAAACTTGTTTCCCTTGGGAACAGTCACAAACACATGTTTCTTCCTTCTCAACTGCCACTCAATCACATTACAACATAGCAACCAAATAGAAGCTCTGTTCTGTTTGGGAGAAGGGTTGTTGATCACTATACAGTGGGGCTGCAATCTCTCCAGTTGCTGCCAAATACCATCTTGACCCTTCATAGTGGAAAAGTTGTATCCTGCCTTGAAATCCATAGGCGATGCAACTCTAACACCATTCTTTGAAAGGAACCAAGATAATCCACTGTTTCCATGAAGTAACTCAACAACATCAGGATGATCATCATTACAGAAGAAAAAGGACTGTTCTCCGAATTCGGCATCAACATACAGTTCGTGATCTTCACGCAAGTTCTCCGGATTCTCATCGTCTAATGCCGGAATGGAAACATCATGCCACTCATCGTGATCACGTCTAACCTTCGACTGATTCACACGTATCACTGCCTTACCAGTATTGGCTTGGACCATAGCTCCTTCTTGTCCAAGTACTGTGGCACGAACCCAACGTCCTTTATCCTTGAACTTTGATGAATCCTGAGTCCAAACAAAAACCTTCTCTCCTTGGAAATAGGGACCGTCACTTGGCATAGTCCTTCTTGCAAGATCTGCTCGAAGGTCCTGAGCTTGTCGTGCTTCTTGATGAGCTCTCAAAGCCACACGTTGTAGTTCCAAATTTGTACGATCTTGTGCGGCGGCATTAGCTGACAATTGCTCAGGGCTTGCGGTCTCAAGGTCAAAAAGATCTGGTGGACGTCTTCCAGTTGCTATCTCTATTGGTGAATATCCACTGATAGTCAACTGACAATTTCTTGCCCAAACTACCTTCTTGACCACTTCTCTGACCGTAACACCACGAAAACGTGGGTCATCCAGATCTACCTTCATAACTTGCCACATACGTTTGAACAAACGCACAGCTGTCTCTGCTCGGTTCGGCCAAGGAGTTCTTGGCCCACAAGGACATTGTTGTATACCATGGAACCTGTAGTATTCAACAAAAGCATCTGTGAAAAAGGCTTCGTCTCCTACGATGGCCTTCGGAACACAATTGTTCTCATCAGACCACTGCCTCAATGCTTGGATGGTGGTTTGATCTATGAGGTCTTTCTGTGCCGTAGCCCAGAGAAGATTTGTGGCACCATCAAGAACAAGTAAGATGATATACTTATTCTTGTGAAGTTCAACCTCACAATGATCAGCAAAAACAACATCACCAAAACATGAAGCTCTAATACCGGAGACTCTGGCTCGTGGCGGAGGTGCCACTGAAGTGTTACAAACACGGCAGTTCCTGACAACTGATTCATACTTCTCTAAAACAGAGTCAGGAAGCTTCAACATAGAAACACGTCTACGAAACTGAGTAGGACTCATATGGTAGTGCTTCACATGAAGCTTATAAAGCTCTACCTTGTCCTCCAGTCTCTGTAACATCTTCCTATATGCCGGTGTCATTGCAACAACTTCACTACCAGGTAATGGGATTGAAATCCGCCTAGGCTCAAGAGCGCCATCACCTGGTTCAAGTGGTTCATGTTTATCACTTGATGGTCCTTTTGATGCTTTAGGAATTTCTACAAGTTCACCTTCTGGCCTCTCAGGTGGTTCTGAAGGAGCATACTCCTCAAGATCATCACCCTTTAAATCATTCTGAGGCTCAGATGGTTTTGACTTGTGTCCTTTCCAAAATGGATCAAAACCCTTGGAAGTATACCGGAACTTTGGCGGCACGGGCTTTTCCGCGGCACTGAATGGTGCACCTTCCTTCTCTGACGAGAAGCCTGGTTCCCTGTCCTTTGCAATGGGAACCTTCTCTGAGGAGGAGCGCACCACTGCATCGGGATCACCAATGCCACGGTGCTCAATGCCAGCCTTCCTGATCTTTAGATCTGGAATTTTGGCATCTGGCTTAAATTTAAAAATTGTTCTACCACGCCATTCATAGCCAAGTTGTAGGTCCTTCCATTTTGCCTTGCGCCAATCATCTGTCTTCTTGATTTCTTCTCCTCCTGTTTTCTTCTTGATGATTGTTAGTCGCAAGTCTTCCAGCAAGTCAGTGTCTACAGGACAGGACTTAGTTGCTGGGAAAAGAATTTTCCTGTAATCCTTGTGGTGACGTATCAGTTCTCTCTTGTGAACATCTACTTCCCAGAAATCAACCACAGGATATGCATGCTCAGCTTCACCTTCATCACTATTGTGTTCAACAGAAATATGGCCATATTCATAGTGAGTGAGGTGAGAGTAAAAACTCTTCTCACGCTGAGTCTGCCAACGCACGTCAGACAGATACCATGCAATATCTTGGAAGTCCAACACAAGATGAGTACTGGCTGCAACCTTCAACTCCAAAAATTTGATACCAAGAGGCACCGATGTCAGATAAGCATGTCGAGGTGTCAGCCTGAGTTCAAAGCCTAAGTTCCTCATCTGTGGCAAGCTCATAAGCAAAGGGACTTCTCCTTCTTCCACTATGTCGAACTCTGTTTGGTGGATCGTCCATGCACGATCATACATATAAATCACCAGTTTCTGAGAGCAAGTAGCCTTCTGGGAATTGGCAAAGTAAAACTTGCTCTTGGTAGCCTCAAAAGAGCACCATAATCCACAATCTGGGTGATTGTCGACATAGTTGCAAAAATGGTCGACTGCTCGCCTTGATCCCATAGCTCTAGTGCATCCAATGTCCAGGATTGCAATAGTTGGCGGGAAGCGATTCTCAGTCAAAAATGAACAGCCTGCATCTCCTTCACTTCTTCCTCAGCGCTCATAAGCGCAAAACCATCAGCGCTCATAAGCGCAAAGCCATCAGCGCTCATAAGCGCAAGGCTATCAGGAGCCTTTGTGAGCATCTCCTTTGACAAAGAGTACCTCACAGGGGCACTCATGTCATCGAAGATCGTCTCACCATTGTTGACCACGCAGTCAGCTTCATCTTGGCATGAGGTCATCATGCCTGACAGCAAGTCCACCTCACTGTCATGGACTTCAGCTGCTGCTGTCACACAATGTGCAAAGAAACCTTGTTGACCTCCTGATGCTTGTGAAGTTCTTGAAGGTGCAGGTAAAGAACGTGGTTGTTGTTGATTTGCATAGTTTGCATCTTGTTTGCCATCTCCTTTATCCTTTCCTTTTCCTTTCTTGCCTTTTTTCTTGCCTTTTCCTTTTCCTTTGTGGGAAAACCATGCTTCTTCGAGCTGTTGCCAAAAGTCATTGGCATCATCATATTCTCCTTGAAGATAGTCATTCATATCCTCGGCAAGAATGGCATCATATGCTCCTTGGGTTGACTCCCAAGTGTCCTCATAAGGATTCTCTTCATAGTACTCTTCTGGATATGTTGTTTGTTGCTCATCAGCAAAATGGCCTTTACCTCGTCTCTTTCCTTTTCCTTTTCCACGAGGTCTGAAGAATCTGCGGCCTGATCTTCCTTTTCCTTTTCTTCTTCCTTTTCCTTTGCCTTTTCTGGCTCTTCTTCCTTGGAATCTCCTTTGGAACCATGAGAAGTTTTGATCATCAAATACCCAAAAGACATCGTCCAGGGCATCTAAAAATCCTTCAGTTCCATCTTCTTCATCTTCGGCCCAATAGCCAAATGTACCATCGAGTTCTCCTTCGTCTAGTACGAGAAATGATCTTCTACCTCCAGCACCTGTCGGCTGCATCAATGGATTGTCTACTGAAGTCTTTGTCGTGCAGAACATCTCGATGAACACTGTCCTCAACTCTGTTGTGGTGTATTGCTGTAGGTACCTGCCACGATGAGTCATCAACGAAGTCAAAGTGTTTCGCTGGTCCTGAGACAAATCTGCAAGGGACAGCATGAGTAGGGCAATGAGATTCTCTCCTAAAGGAAAATCATTCTGATGAAGAATTCTCATATTGCCATTGACATTCTGCATGATTTCCTGAATCCTTTCTGCCGTTGGTGCTACTCCAGTCAACGCTGCATCTGCCTGCATCTGAGCAAGGACTTGGGGATGTGCTTGAGTGACTGGTTCTAACATGTCCATCCAACTGCTCATAAGCCTTTGGAGTAAAATCTGGAATCTTGTCATCCATTTCATCATGTCGGCTGATCCTCGATTGAATCGCACGAATTGCATAAACCTGTATAGGAATACATTGGTTGATCCTTTCACGAAATATGGTCGTAGTACTCGTTTAAAGTAATCTACTCCTGCTCCTGGTGGCTCATTAGCCTTCAATGAATCTCTGTCTAATACACGTTTGTATACTGCTGCTTCTCCTTCTAATCTGTTTCTCAAAGCTGGTCCTCTCTTCTCATCTTCCAGCTCGGTGATATCACACCAATCGTCTATGGCATCCTCATAGGAAAACCATGAAGTCTTTCCATCATAAGATGGGGGCACCTTTGTAGTGACCTGTGTTGTCATTGCTATTGCTGCTGGTTCTCTTCTCACATGCCTATTCACGTAGGCTGCTGGCTCATAAGCCACATCCGCATCAGGCTCTTCCCAGTCGTCAATCCAATCCATGGCCGTTTGCCCACAAGCAAGTCTATGCCTAGGAAAGGAGCTCACCTGGGTCTTCCAGGATCACTGCTCCGCTACCACTGAAAGAGTGACTAGGGCGTACACGGTAGAGGTGCAGACCGCTAGTGTCTTTTACTCACGCAGAGTCTTATCCTATTAGGTCCATTGACCCTCTCTTGAGCCTTGAAGCAGTCAAGCATGGACACACTATATCAGCTGTTGGAGTGGAACCCTGTACAGGTAGGCTCTACTTCTCAGGGGGGGAGGGGGGGGGGGGGGGGGGGGGGGGGGGGGTCTTCGACCTGAAAAATCAGGGGTTAGGATTTGCACCCGGTCGAAAGAAACCTTGCTATCGCAAGAGTAACTCCAGCTAGCTTCGCTAGCTTTCGTGATCAAAGCTTATCACACAGAAAAAAGAACAAAACAAGTCATAGTCATATGTCTTAAACCAATCCAGCTCGCTTTCGGCCATCTTTGGTGCCGTCGCCAGCTGCATCGCCAGTCTTTCGCCAGCCGACTCGAGGGAGTGGAGGCTACGGTGGAAGGGCGCACGCAGCTCCGGCAGAGTGGCGCTGTGACAGGCAGAGATGGAGAGCTGCTGAAGGCTGCATTGGCGCCAGCTGTCTTGGACTAAACGAATGTCCTAAACGCGCTCCGAACGGTGCCAAGTGGTCGCGCAAAAAAAGGACCGAGGCGATTTGGAGAAAAACACGGCCCAGAAAGAACAGCTACGATTCTCTGGATAGCATGAAACATGTGAGATCAATTCCTTATAAAACATATTCATAGGATATCATAGGCGATCCCCCCAAAAAACTCTTGAACCTTCTTGAACTAGCTTGAATTACACGCCGAATGGACGGAGAACACCGCGTGAATTCCGCTGAAGATTCCGCCGCTGACGCGGCACGAAAGAGTCGGCAGGGTGGGACGAGGGTCGGAGTCGGACGGTCCAGACTCAAAAGGTGGAGATATGCGAGTGCTCCTCTCATTGACTCTGAAACCCCCCCCACACAGATCCAAGAAAAAGAAGATCAAGAGTTCACACCGATAGGAAATGTATCCTTTTTCCATCCTGTCCATATCTTTCCCAAGCCGCTTTGACTCTTTAGAGTCCCTTGGACCAAATTCAGGTGAAACCGAACGCACTCCATCTGTTCTTGTTTAATGAGGAGCATCTACACTCTCCCACCATGCTGCGACCCACGGGATGAATGGGCTCTAAGGCGAACCCGCAGGGATTGCTTCGGCGGGGTTTGCAGAAAAGCCCCCCTTTTTTTTCTGCAAAGAGGCACCTCCTCTGGAGGTTGTGGCATCTCCAAAATTGATAGATTCGATCATTTCCTGTACATCACCCTCCTGTCTTGCCCCAAAATGCCACAAACCTCCAGGTCATCTCCAGGTAATCACACAGCTCAATTCCAAGTGTCCATGAGTTGCAAAGGCCACTTGGAGCTCTGCGAAAACCTCACCAATCACAGGAGACACATCTACTGGCGAAAACCTCGCCGTGGTTGGACCACCAAACCCAAAAGGATTGGCTGAGGATGAAGATGCAAAGAGTCAGAAGCCAAGATGCACACATGACGCACACATGGATGTCACAGCTCGGGCAGCTATATGGATGAACGACCTACCTTCTGGCGGGAACGCACCCCCCCTGCCAGAAAAAAACATTGGACAAACACGTACAGAACGCCCATGGTGCCAGCGGATCTCCCTATTCAAGATAACCTACTAGCGATGGCCTCCTACTAGCGATGGCCTCCATGGCTGTGGATGATCAAACCCAGTAGACGAGACCGACAGAACGGCGGTTCTTTCCTACCAGGTCTCGGGGTCGTTCTTAACAACACTGCAGGTGGGTTGAGCGACCCAGCCCCTCATTCAATGAATGGGGGACAAAATCTACGAGAAACCATGGTGTTCACTCCCCAAACGATGGGTTTTGCAGAATTGAATTGGTCCCTCCCCAAAACCATTTCATTGATAGAAACTGCGAGCGTTTCATCATGATGAACAAAAAGCACTCGTCGAAAACTTGGGCCCAAGGAACTCAAGTGGGCCCCAATCCTCACGAGTGTCCATGTTCAACAAGGGTCCATTGGTGATGCGTCTTAAGCATCTCTCAATGTGCCAAGATGGTCCAGCATCCGTCTGGAAACAGTTCCAGAAGTTGGCGGTCATGATGCCATACAGACAGAAGTCATCTTCGACCTCTTCCGGCACCCCTGTCCTCAGAAGAGATTGAATCCGCATCCACTCTGAAGACCCTTCTAGAGATAGGACTCTTGAAGTGGTTGGAACGGGAAACAACTTTGGGTGGCAGGACTCTGCAAGCAGTGGCAGGACTCGAAGGAGATTCCGTATTTAGCTGGAAAAAAAACGGACCCAACACACCATGCCAACCATGCAAACCATGCAAACCATGCACCATGGCACAATGCCGTACTCAATCTCCATGTGCGACATATTACGATAGGTCTTTTTCAACCCAGGTGGTTTGGGAGTCTTTTTCATGTGAAGCTGGTGGAGTTCTGGTTGATGCGAACTGGGCAAGGCTGCATCGGGTGATTCTTCTTGAGGAGAGTCTTCCCGACAGAGAGCACACACACACACACCCCCAAGCTCCGAGGAGGAGAGGTACCGTAGCTCTCAAAGCTCTCAGAAAGGTTCCAGAGCGCAGGACCCAAGATTGGCGGCAAAATACCAGAGAATCGAGTCACATCATAGGAATCCTGAAGGATTCAAATTAAGCATTGTCATCTTTACGGTAGAGCTCGCGGAGTACCTCGCCCCCAAAAAAACACCGTGAATTACGAAAGGCGGGAATGCCGCAGGATGAACCCCCCAAAATCTTGAGCAGGTGCTCTGGATCTCTGGTTCATCAATCTTCCAGGCTTCAAGTTGCTCCCACGGAAGAGCAGTGCAGAAATAGTGTCCAGGAAACCACCTGTAAATTACAGGTGGTTTCCTGGAAATTATTGCTGAACATGTTAAAGCGTCATCCCAAACTCCAAGTCAGTCATTCAACCCCCCAAAACATCCTAAAACCTCCAAAACCATCCCAAAACACGCCAAAAGAAAGCACCTTGGCCTTGGACCCCCATCCACCTCCGCCGGCATCGCCCAGCGTCGACGCCCAGCGCGAAGACAGCGCCTGGCGCTGACGGAGCAAGGCCAGCGGCGTCCAGCGGCGCAGCAAACGCTGCGCCAAACGCAAAAGGACCGGTGGAGCTGGAGCAAGACCTGCGAACGAGTTCCGAGTACGAGCTCAAAAGGAAGAACCAAATGGGAAACCAGTACTGGCTGTGTTATACAATATGTGTGTTTTTGCCGCGGCCGAGTGGGAGCCGAGTGAACTCGAGTTCTTCGGAAGGAAAGGGAGAAAGTGTTATGGTGTGATTTGGTTTCTCTCCATTTTGCCTCTCTCTCTCTCTCTCTCTTCTGCTCCGCTCTTGTGGTGCCGCGTGGAGAGAAGTCCCAGTCCCGAGAGTGTCACGCCCAGTCGCGCTCGCCGGTTCCCGCCGGTTCCCACCGCCTGCGCGGGGAAGCTCTTGTGTCGTCAGCGTTTGGAGCTGATGCCAATCGTCTCCCTCGGCGCAGGGCACCGAAATGGCATCGCTATAGCTGGAGCTAAGGACACCCTAGTCTAGCTGCACACGAATGCGTGCAGCCATGGCACGCTTTCGCCATGGGGCGCAGATACTTGCTATATACATCCAGTTGAAAGGAAAGCAGTGGGTTCCAACAAAAGCATAGACATCAATCTTCACCCTCATTCCGCACATCGGACTCCTCGGGCCCATGTTTGAAACATCGTCCCTGAACAGGATCCGGTGATAGCCATCTTAGCTTGGACAAAATCACTTACCTTAGACTTAGCAAATCACGTTGATAGAATCTGATAGAAAGTCATAGGGGAACCTTCTTCTAACCCTGGGGAATTCATCATGGATCATCTATCCCACAGAGTCTAGACAACACCCATGAACTTCACCAATCCAGATCAGGTGAGACCCGACGACTCTACAGCTCTACGACAACTCTTGTAGAGGGGCCCAGGCCCCAAACAGATCAACAACAAAAAAGACCTGTGAAGGAAAAGGCGATGGTGGTTAGATCATTCTTTCCAAGAACCTCGGGTGTTGTTTCCCTGGGCTCCGGGTTTTTGGTTCCCGGATTGGTGTTTTCGGTTCCCGCGGTGTTTTTTCTTCCCGCGTTGGTGTTTTCGGTTCCCGCGGTGTTTTTGGTTCCCAAGTGGGTTTTTGGTTCCCGCGCGGCGGTGTTTTCGGTGCCCGGCTCGGTTTTTTCAGTGCCCGCGGGTGTTTTCAGTTCCTGTGATGGTGTTTTCGGTTCCCACCTTGCGTTGAAGAGGGAAAAATTGCGCGGGTGTTTTCGGTTCCCGCGTCCGGTGTTTTCGGTTCCCGCGTTCGGTGCGTTTAGGTCTCCAGTGTTGCTGGTTTTCGCGTCCGGTGTTTTCGGTTCCCGTGTCGGGTGTGCTGTGATCCCGTGCGAAGTGGTGGGAGTCTTGTGTTGTCGCGGGACAACGCGAAAGAGTTTTTGTAAAGACACGAACAAACACGAACCACCAAAAGCCACAACCACTACCACCACCAGCACCTTCACCACCACCACGACCACCACGACCACCACCACCACCACGACCACCACCAACAACAGCAACAAAGACCACCACAACAACAACAACAACCACAACACCGACGACGAGGACCAACAACGACGACCAACAACGATCAACAAACAACATGCGAAAATCGACGACAACAACAACAACACCATCAAGAACACCACCACCACCACCACCAACAACAACAACAACAACGACAACAACAACAACAACAGAAACAACCGCGACAGCGATAGGAACTTGGCGGCAAGGTTGCGCCAGTGTGGCTGAATGAAATTGGTGTCCAAGCAAATGGAAAAGAAGCAACGCTTCAGCATGGTTGCCCAAGCAGGAAGTGGGCAAATCTTTTTGAACCCCAGCGTCACAACAGCTAAGTCCTGCCGCACACGGACATGAAACTAGCACTCACACGACCTGCGTCGACGTTGGCCTCAGATGCGCGCAAGCTCACAACATGAAACCGACAAGCCGTAGAGAGAGACTGCAGAAGGCGACAATGCAACTTGTTAACCACAGTGATGTGTAAGTGACGCGTGACGGCAAGTGGCTTTGGGAAATGAACGTAAACATGTGCAGCAAAGCATGCAAAAAAAAGTTGGAGCCCTGCAGACCAAGCTTCCACTTACTGCTCGGCGCGTTTGTGCTGGCGCCGTTGTTGGCGGGGGCACGGTTCAGCTTTCCGCTTCCGACCCTTTTGCCGGGTGGTGGCAGGCAATTGGTTCAAGTCTAGCTTTGGCGGCCGGGCACGGATCTGCAAACTATCGGCAAAAGTTGTGTGATCACAACCGCCGTGCAAAGCAAAAATGCCACAGGTGCACGCAGCAGAACCATCGCGGTCAATGACATAGACAATGTCCTGGGCCAAGCAAGGCGTTGACCCGGGGGTGTATGAGTGGCAGATTGTATTTCACATGCATGAAGCTTGAACATAGGCGGCCTTCGGAACAAAGCCGAAAAACATCGAAAAACTTGAGGACATGAACTGCAACGACCAAACTGGAACGAACAGGAAAGCAGAGCCAACTTTAGGTTCTTTGGCCCGTTGAAGCCTGAAAAACTGCCCGCAAGCTGGAAAGGTTGAGCGCATTGGAAGCGCTCAGAATCCCGGTGTTCTGCAAGGACTGGGACACGTTCGTGCCTGCAATCAAAAGCGCACCAGCGGTTGCAGTGCGCAAGTTCAAAGGCGACCGGCTTTCGTTTGCAATCATTGCAACGGTTGTAGGATTGTGACCGATGATGGTAAAAGTGGTGTCCGAAGGCAACTCCGCAAAGCGAGCCGCATTCGTCCGGCCAGCGCGAGCCAGAGCGCTGCTGCTGATGAGGTTCGGGTCCACCTCCTGTCTGCCGGGCAAAACGAACTAGGTTATGCTGCGCGAAGCAGCTGAGGAAACGAAACAAGAAGCCGGGATCCAAGGTGACCAAGGAGCAGTGCAATATTGATTGTATCTATGCCGCCGAGAATGTGACATATGACATGATTGCGTAAGTCGGAGTGCTGCAAAATTGTGAAGCAAAAGAACAAAAAAACTGAAAGCAGGCGAGGAGCAGATGCCGAAAGTCGTAAAGGGTCCGAACTGTGCCAGTCATACCAGTTCTCCCAATGCTGCGTGTACAGCTTTTGCATCACGCCTAGCACGTGGCTGATGTTGCCCTTACCTCCCAAAGCTTGAAGTTCACGCTGCCATGGTGCGTGCAAGGCCTCCGCAGGTTGGTTGCCTGCACCACTGCCAGCCACAGTGCCTTCGAAGCCAGTCCAAAAGCTGACATAAGTTGGGGGTGGCGAAGAACTTGCGTACTGCTGCGCCAAAGCGAAAGGCAGCGGCCTTTCATAGGTTCGTAACCAAGCGACCAAGTCATGCTCTCCATGTTCGGTAAGTCGACGAAGATACGCAGCCCACAAAGGGGAAAACAAGCGCAACGTGGGAAGCAAGCGCAGAAGTCGCACCGCAGCAACTGCCCAATCCAAATGTTCCTTGACCCATTTCCCCTTTCGTAAGACCGTTTTGCAGCACTTTGCAGCCATAGTCGTATGCTGCTTTTGGCTCCAATGGAAGAAATCATCACATGCACGGGAGTGTGGGAAGCAATCGACGCGGGCAGTTTCAATCTCTTTTTTGAAATCTTTGTGCAATTGGAATGGCAAAGTTGCAAGCGATGGACGGGGTGGAGATGCACTGTTTTGCCAGAGCTTGTCCACGGCCCGGAATAAGCGTTGGAAATTGCCGTGCGTTTCTTGATGGAAAATCGCTTGCACGACGGGCACGGTGTGACTTGTAAAGGCGAACCCTTGAGTTCGAGCAGGTGTGGAGTCCGTGCGGGCAGCACGCGACAAAGTGGTTTTTCGTAGTTTGTCGCGAGTGAGGAGACCGAAAGTCGCAACGCCATACCCATGCTCGGCAACTTTCATTTTCGCATCAACAGTGCAGCACAATGTAGTATCTTGGTAACGTTCAAAATGGCGAACCATGCCCGGGCAAGAAAAAATGATGCAAACTTCGTCCTGGGTCAGGACCGGCTCATCAAGTAAAAACAAAGCCGACAGTGTGTCCGGCATGGACCGCGGCTACCATGCCGTTACAATTTGGCATGTAACCTTGTAGTGTGAGTAGCAAAACATCGATTGCAGACTCTGCAGACAAACATGCCATTGAATGGAGTAGAGGAGTCTAGAGCAAGCTTTTGGCGCACGAGCCTCTTCGCGCACCGGCTCATCCTGACAAGGCAGAATGAGCAACGCAGGACAGGCGACAAAGAAGGACAGGCGGCAAAGAAGAACCGCCGCAGCAGCAGCAGCAGCACCACCACCAGCAGCAGCAACAGCAGCAGCCGCATCCAGCAACAGCAACAGCAACAGAAGCAACAGCAACAACAACAGAAACAACCACGACAGCGACAGGAACAGCGGCCGCAAGAACAGCGGGAACAGCAACAGCCAGCACAGCAGTAAGCACGGACAAGAGCGAACTACGTGCTGCAGAACCAAACAGTACTGCTGCAGCTGGGGGCCAAACGACAGCGAAGCGGAGGAATCCAACCTGGTCGGCTCAGACTTAGCCGCGCAAAGCTAAGTAAGCAGAAGCAGCTGCAATTAAGCTACAGGCTGGTGTTTTCACTGTAAGGGCACAGTGCTGGCGCAAATATTCTTTGGCGGTCCAGCACCAGTTGGCCTGGTACAAGGTTACATGCCAAATTGTAACGGCATGGTAGGAGCGATACACTACATGATAGATAAGTTTGTACCACCTGCCTCGTCTTCTTCGCTGAGGTTCTCCCAGCGCGTCATGGCCAAAACTGAAGCTCTGTGTGCTTGCGTCTATGTGTTCGTACAGTGCGGTGTTCTTTGTCTGTTTAATTGTGTGACACGAGTACGTGCTTTCAAAACCAGCGGTGTAACGGCATGGTAGGAGCGATACACTACATGATAGATAACTTTGTACCACCTGCCTCGTCTTCTTCGCTGAGGGTCTCCCAGTGCGT